TGTGTGTGTGTGTGTGTGTGAGTGTGAGTGAGTGTGTGTGATGCAGAGCAGTGGAGCCCCACAGTGAGTCACTGCTCTGGCATGCATCAGAGCCCCCAGCAGTATACTTTAGTCTTTGGAAACCCACTGTATGGGGGTTGCGTCAATGTGCCTTGGGTGCAAATGAACATTTCTTTTGTTCCTTTAACAGTTCCCTACATTTTACTTCACCAAGGAAGAAACTGAATGCTGGGAATTATCCAGAGGTTAGTATGTTTTGCATACATGACTTGACCTTAAAATTAAAAATTAATTCAAATGAATTAAAAAATCATGTGGGTGCTGAAAATGAAAAATGCAAGTTTGCATACACACAATGCAACACAATTAAGCATATACTGTAAAGTTACACCTTTTTTTTTTAACAAGTATTCTTACATTTGAAAAAAACAGCACCAAGCGTGGTGTTTTTCAATGGCCTTTAATTATATGTAACACTAGCCATTGGCAAGGGCAGTCATGTATGTTCGACCTTGTCTTGATTAAGAGAGCGCTTCTGAAAATGCCTCTTTCGGCCACCAGTAGCCACTGTTCAGCCAGGTCAGGTGACTTTCAATATGCCATGCTTATTACTTGATGATGACCACATATGATTCCGCTTTAATTAGAAATAAGAATGTTATTAAGGTCTCATTTATACTGCTGAACAATAATGCAGATAAGAAGAGTTAAGTGGCTGATGTAAACCTAAAAGGCAAACCCATTGACGCATGCCGTAATGTGCTGCATTCATTAGTACATTCACATTTCAAGTGCTTATCATTGAGAGCGACGCTATTATGCAGCATTAGAGGTTCACAGAACCACAACACAGAACAACAGAGTGCCCGGTGCTCACCTGTGTATGTGGATGCACCGTCTGGAAGCATCATTATGTTTGTGTGTGTAGATGATTTAGATTGGGAATGACATGTACTAAGGAGAATACATTTGGGATCTGTAACCTCTATCCTCTGTCCTTCTCTTTCTCTCTGTTTTCTCATGTAGAGCTCACACAATGTGTTTGTATGAGTCTTTTGTTTTACCACGAATGTAGAAAATTAACATGAATTTCTCATGTGTATATTTATATGATTTTTATGTGGTTTTAGAACAATGTGCACCCAATGTTTCACATGTAACCAAATGGTTTTACATGTGAATTACAAGCTGTTTTAAGGTGCAGAGATGCAAACAGGTAAGGGGGGAAAAAGGTGAGAACATTGCACGGATCGGGGGCATGCTCCATGGAATTTCTTTTAAAGATATTTGCTTTACATGTTCATATGTAGTTACTTGAAGGTATTTTTAAAATATTTTTGTATTACCTTATATGTCCAAAACTGTATTTTTTCATAAAAAAAAACATGTTAAAAAAAAACATTTCCACATCTCAGACCTCAAATACATAAAATATTACCCTTTTTAGACATCTTTTTAGACATTTAGACATTAGATCTAAGCAAATCTCATAGATTACCTATTTTGATCTCAAAAAAGTGAGTTGTCACTGATAGGTGAGGAGTTTGCTGCATCTATGAATGTGGATGCACAATTAAATGTACAATATCAGTCAATATCAATAAATTTAGATTGAATTTGTAAAAGCTTTTTACTTATTTAGATAATTAAATTACAGAACAAAAATATAATATAATATAGTCGATATCAG